CATCGTTAGAATTCTTATCGGACACATACGCTGTTGGACGGCGTACCGGCATTTTTCGTTTATGAATTCGGCTAGAAATGCCGGGACGAGACGATGCATGTGCCTAGAAGTGCAATGTTGTAAAAAATTTATCCATTTCTAGGGTTATAAAACTTGAACTGGAACATTTTTTTTGAAAACAATTAGCATTAGCCGCAATTCTCAGAAATCCCTACTTTTCGTTTTTCTCTTTGTAATCTTTGAGGTAAAGGTAAATAAGCTTATCAAACTCAGGGCTTCTTTCCTCACCTCAGCTCGTTTCTTCTCTGTCTTGTCTGGATCCGCAGGACGGCTCTCTTGAGCGCGCACCTCGGAATCAAACTTCAAATTCACATCCATTATTTCTTTCGAGGCTCCTGCACAGCTGGTGTCATCACCTTAAGTGTGATTCATCAAAGAAATGTCTAAGTATTGCCAACAAAGCTAACAGAATTGATGGCCTGAGTCCTTTACGTCGAGCTAACCTTTTTTGCACTTTTTAAAGTGCACGAAACTTGAAATGGATGTTATTGACAGAAATGTTAATTTAAAAGCCCTGTAAAAATAGGTGCAATTTAGGCTTTGACAGCGCAACTACTAACGATGAATGAGGCAACTTTATTGTTCTTTAGCTAGATTATCAGTACAATCCAAAGGCTCAAGCTGATTATTCAGGGATAAGTGAGAAAATGGGAAAAAAGTTTCCTGTGAGGCGGAACGAGGGTGCAGGACAGTATCCAACTTGTTTGAGATCTAAAATAACATTCTTTTGTTGGATTTTTATATTGAATGATTCCACTTAATTTATTGAATTATCATTTCTTACCATATTTTAAGAATAAAAATAGAATGTACTATATGGTTGCGTGAAAGCGGTACTATATTGTTGCTATATAGGTATTGGGCTGTATTAATTATTCCTCTTTGAACTGTCTTGCCGTTAAATAAGCCGGGGAAGCCATATTAAAAGTGCTGTCTAGATATCAGACATAGTTACGATTCTAAACCATCGCTCGTATCATTCCAAAGAGTAATCGTTGGTTTAGAAGGGCGCCTGAACTTTGATTTTTTTGGTTTGTACAATTTATGCTTCAATCCTAGATTCTAATTTCTCGAAAAGCGATCACGGTGAAGAGAGTGAGACGTTTGGTGAAGTCACACCTCATCGAAAATGGATGATAAAATAATGGGAGCGGGGACGGCAGACTTTGCGAGGCCCGAAAGGTCATCTCCTCGCTGAGCAACTTGAAATGCAACTCATTGTTGAAGCTCTTGTAGCATAGCTGACACTTCGGTTTGATGTCTGAGCTGTTGTGCTGCGTTGCATCGCGCATTCTAGGCAAGATTCCCAGGAAGCTCAATTTGTTCCAT